AAATGTTTTCTGTCTACAGTAGGTCTTTTATATGCATTTACTGTACTGTGCTTGAGAAAAATTAATCTTTCAAAACATATAAATAGGTCATCTGCAAAAGCGCTATTAGAACAAAATCTGGAAGGCTGACAGTTTTCCCTTTACCAAGAGGTTTTTGGAAAACACAGATCTATTTTAGTGTCACACAAAAAAAAACTTCCAAATTTGATGTATTTTAAATATACTGCCGATGACAAAACATGTTGAACATTGTAACAAAAGGAATACAACTTTTTGACAATTTTCAAAACAGATATATTTGTTTTTGCAAATGCACTCCTATTACATGCCGTCTAATCTCAAGTGTTTTCTTTATGCAGTATAAACATTTGGAAACAGCATTTCAGATTTATGCAGCTATAATCTGGAACAGTGTTCCTCAAAATGTGAGACAGGCTTCTGCTGTTACAATGTTCAAATCTCTGTTTAATGTACTGTGATTATTTATTTTTGTATTCCTTTATTTGAATCGGGACAGTACACTTTAATCAACATTACTGTAAATGTGCAAGGTGTAAAATGGCAACAATATTTATGGTTTTAATGCCTTGTATAATGCTTCTGGTTTTGTTTAGCACTTTGAGTGGCCTTGTGTACGATCTATGCTATACAGATAAACTTTTCCTTGCCAGTAGGCTCATATAGTGTATATATTTGAGTGGAGTCCTGTCTGACTTTGTGGGAACCATGGTGTGTTTCTGCCTCCCAACAGTATTGTGGCGATGTTGCATCAGCCATCGCATGCTTTTCACCTTCGTGGCTTCTCCATGCAGAATATTCAGCTCATTCATCACCGAGCAAAGACACACACACACAAAGACACACAGACACACACACAAGCTCGTTATGTTCATGTTTTTTATTATTATTATCATTTTACGATTACCAGATGAGCAGATACATCATTTTAGAAAAGAAACTGATATTTGCAAAAAAATTATAATACAATTTTCTCAATATAGACTTATTTACAAAATGAAATGAGTACAACTTGAAATAGCATCTTGCGTCCGTCGTCAAAGAGACAACGCAATGTGGGGTTAGATGAAAACTTCACGGACCGGAACCCCCACCAATAAATATAAACTGTATATATTATCAACGCCGCACTCAACCAGGCATGGACGACACCAGGGCAAGTTGGAGCTCGACAATATCCCAACGTCGACGTGAGTGGGATTTCAAAGTTAGAATGTTTATCTTGATTTCGAAGGGTTGGACTGGTTTAATTGCACTGGTTTGGAGCAATTTATTTCTTAACTTTAGGTGAAAAAGTTGAATAATAATAGAAAAGTAGAGGGATGAAAATTAAAACAAGCTGTAGAATTATTTTTTGAATCCGTTCTAAAACAGGGGTGACCAAAGTGTATTGTATTGTATGGTAGTAAAAGGGGTTGGTCATGTCTATGTTTTTACTCAGCCTACTGCTTTTCGAATAATTTCCATTTCAAATATTTTTCTCTTCATATTCCAAATAATCTTTAAAATAAAATGTTTAAAGTGAAATGAGTGGGGCCAGAGGGTTAAAAAAGCTTCTTAATGGTTCTTTTTATAGTTCCTTTCAGCTCACCACACTAAACTTTTGACTTTTGAAGACGTTTCAGTCCAGATAATGTATTTTTTTCCTTGATATTTTGCAGAATGTTACACCTCCGCCACAACATGTATAGCTATCGTTTTGTGATGGATTGTCATAATATGTTCTTTTAAAGAACGTAAAATTATCTTGCATACACTTAGGGTTTTATGCCAAATCCTATTTTGGACAGGTTTATCTACTATACAGGTAGATCTACTTTGTCCTTTCATGTTTTAGATTTTGAAATAAGTAGAAAATATACATTGAAACAAGTATGAGGGTTCAATAATGCTATCCGGTCTAACTCCAGCAGAGGGAGGAGTTGGATTTCACCTGAGGAAATGTGAAAAAAAAAATGTTAAGGGCAATATTTCTGTTTTAAAAGGTAAATAGCAGCTTGGAGTGTGATGTCATAGTGGTAAAATGACATCATACTATCACAGGACTGAGACAAGTGATTTTATATAAAAAAGGTAGTATTTGTGACATAATTTTCAGATTTTAGCGTTTAAAAACCACTCCAGTTCTCTTTTTGATGAGGAATCACATTGTTAAAAGCTCAATTAAGTATTTTGTAGCAAAATATACATTGGTTCCATTCTTTCGCTCAAACAAACCAAGATAAACATTCTAAATGTTTAAGTCGCTTTGACTTTAGATTTGCACACCAATCACACATCAAAGAAATGTCACAGGCCAGAGAGTAAACATACTACAGATGGTAATGTAAGGTAAGAATAAAAAAGAGCAAAAAAAAAGAAGTGTATGGAGAAATACCCGTCATTGTCCTTGTTCAGAAGAGAGAGAAAAAAACTCGGTGCTCTGGTCACCGAAGCCGACTGAGTAGCACTTGACATTTTGGCCCGATTCAAACAGCCAATTCTACAAAAAGCTACCGGACTGGAAAATCTCTCAAACAGCCTCTCTCTCATCTCGCCTACTCATCTATCCCTCCCCGCTCGCTCCTTCACCCTATCAGTAGTCCACCTTTTCTTCTCCTTTTATCTCCCATGCGTTTGGCAAGGCTGTCCCACTTCCCCCTTGCTGTTGTTTTTTCCCTGAAAATGAAATCAACTAAATGCGCCACGAAAGCCTCTATCCACTCTGCGTAGAAACGGGACGGACCACAGCACAAACACGGGACAAGCACGCGATAAGACGACAAGCAAAGTAACTGGGATAGACGGGACGTGGGGAGGGGTTGTGAGGACTTGAAGGACTCTATGGAGCGCACTCTGCTAGCCAACAGCTTTGTCACCTTTTGAAAAAAAAATTACCCCTTTTGCGCTAGGTGGGAGGGGAAGAATTATGACTTTGTTCAGATGAGCGAATACACGCGCTTGCATAAATCATCCATCTTGTTTGGCTGTTAATTACTCTTGTTTACCCTCGGAGTAACCTCGGGATGGGGCGGCGTGATAGGAGCGCGCCTGGGAAGGGGAGATAGCGGGAAAATAGCAATCTGCTGATGCTGTTCATCAGTGGGCAATTCACGGGAGTAAAAAAGAAAAAAAAACAGCTCGCGAATTATACAAGGGTGCCCAGGGTCCGAGGGCGGCATCTCCATCAACAGCTTTTCACCGTTTGCTAAGCTGTTCTGGGGTCAGAGGGTTGAAGGAGGCGCCCCCGCGAAAGGCCAAAAGCTCTTCGCGATGTATGGCAAGCTCGGATCGTTGCTTATTTCATTACCTGGAAAGCTACATAAATCCAGAAAATGGAGAGGAAGAGGCGCACGTGAGGAATATTTGCATTTCTCCTCTCTCCCTTACCTCCGAATCCCCCCCCCCCCCCACATCTCCTTCCTTTTGGTTGCTCCCACATCACCTTCCGTTCCATCCCTCCCCCGTTTAGTGCCGAGTGACTTTAATCATCACTTTCGCCAAAACACATTAAGCCGGTGTGTCCGATGTCGGGGAGTGAAAGGGAGGAGGGAGGCTGAAAAAACACATTAGATTTGCAACGGCGATGGATCACTCTGGCATTACTTTGGAGATTAAAGAAGGGATGTTGCATTTCAATTGAGTGCTGTTGATGCTTTCTTGATAGATGACTGTCCTCTCATTCGTAAACCCTACGGGAAGTGACACCGGACACGGGACAATTCGCCAGGGTAACCTCTGTCTGCGCCTCCATGGACCCATCCAGCTCCAAATCAACTGATCCAGTACCAGTGTTCAGACGACGAAAATCCAGTTTGAGTGCACTATGCAACTTTTGTGTTGAGGGATCTGCTATTAGCTCGAGTCCATCTAAAGGTCCAAAAATTATCCTAATTTACTGTTTTAAATACTGCCACAAGCTACTGAACAGCTTTTATATGAATCAAAGTTCAATCAATAGGAGAAATTCTGGGTTAACCCTTTAGGATAGAGTTGCTACACACTTTCCAAACATTTTCCAATTTCTTTTTCTTATATCTATGTCTGTTGATATTTGAATTACTCCTCTATCTCTTACAAAGTTCCAGAGCTCCACCTCGGCATGAAATTTCAGAAAAAACTCTGGCGCCTAAAGGGTTAACATAAATATTCTTCCAATTAACAGCAGAACCGGAAGAGCTGAAGGACTGATATTATACAATCAATTTCTGAATACCTTCTGGCTGCTAGGTGCATCCCTCCCCTTTTATCGCTTTCAACCAAACCGTGAATTCGCTCTCATAAAATCCCCTTTTTTTTACCAAAACCTCAAAGCTTCTTCTTTGTATTTAACCCCCAAAAGAGCACACCTCTACATCGAAGATATTTATGCAGCTGTTTGATCATGTTCTTAAGTCAAAAACAACGTCTCCTTTGTAGGAGGAGATAATACTTAAAAGTGGATTGCATACATTAAACTTAAGCCAACATACACCCTGAATCTCTGTGGTCTTTGTGTTACTGAATCAGTTTGAAAGGATGGATCTAAAGTGCTTGAGAGCTCAGGGCAGGCAGGACGAGATAGTGAGAGATGATTTTTTTTTTTTTAAAGGCAGGGAATGAGGGCTTTACCACAGGGCTCAGAAAGGGCAGGTACAATATGCAGACATGTAGAGCTTCATAATAAAAAAGTGTTGACATAAAGAAAATAACTCCTTGGGCTGTGCAATTCATTTAAATATTTCAGGATTTCAATTCTTGCTCAATTCAATTTAGATTTGAAAGACATCAAAATACAACATGGGGCAAAAACAAAGACTGATTGAGTGGTTTTTGTCATGAGCCAAATAATCCTGATCAATATTTGTCCATAATCGGTCAGCCCTAGGTACTCCATTGGAAACAAAATGACAATGTTCTTTAGAATCACAGTCTGAAGCCTTCAAGCCAACACCAGATCATCCCAGTGTGTGAGCTTTACCGGCAAATTGTTTCACGATATGAAAATCTTCAAGGTCCTGGATTCACCCAGGGACCCAGCTCTGGTTACTGTGCATGGGCGGAGGGCATGCGAACGCTCCCAAACTCATGCCCATCCCCATGCCTACGCCTTGGGACAGTGATCCGTCAAAGTTAAAGTCTACATTTTCACCGTCCATAAAGTCACTGAGCAAAATGGAGTCCACGTCACAGTCCAGGCCATTGGGAGCATTCTCCATTTCCAGGTTGGACGCCATTCGGCTGTGGGGATTGTGCGCATGCCCGTGGTAACCATTGTTTCCTGGCTGATGGCCGTTGTGGTAGTAACTTTGCCAAGAGTCGGTCGGTCCCTGATGGTATGTCTGGTGGCGTGTTGGGTGAGGGGCAGATGCCAGTCGACAAGGGTCCTGTGGAACGTCCAGAACTCCGGCCGGATTGGGAGGCGAAGTGGCGTGGTGGGGCCTTGGCGCATAGTGGTTGGCGGCCTTCAGGATGTACGGCTGCAAGATGTCAGAGCTGACCCGCGGAGAGAGAGCCTGCGGATGAGGCGGTCCGTTGAGAGGGTTGTGCGGCGCGTGATTGTGCATGGACCGGGAGTTGTGGTCGTGGTTTGAAATGACTTTACCGTGCTCATGACTGGGGACATAATCGTGGGTAGGGTGTGGCTTGTGGTTGTACTCGAGGCTGGCCTTGTGACCCTGATTGTGGCTCTGGTCGTGGCCGTTGTGCAGACCGCTGTTTCCCTCTTGATTGTGACTTCGACTCTGATTGTGTGGCCTGTGAACCCCGTTTGTTAGAAGACCGTCCTTGCAATACGGCGAGCTCGTGAGAAGACTCTGCAGCGCGTTGTTTTCCGAGTAACCCCTCATCTGGCTCTGAAAACTGACTGGCTTGTTCTCCTGGATGGTCTCCATGGGGCCGTGGAGCCGTAGCATCCCCATGGAACCCTGATTGTACATGGGCCCGCAGTAGGAACCTTCCGTTTTGGGCCCAGGTGCGTAAGGATAGCCGTTGCATTTCATTTGCGACTGTGCGTAGCTGCTTTCATCCAAGCTGATAGCCCCGGTCAGGTCTGTCAGCTGTGGGAGTTCTACGCTGGGGCAATGACCACCGGTGCCTAAAGCTGGGGACCGCGTGCTCGTCGGGCTCGGGTACAACCTTGGAGATGCGGAACAGGACAGCCCGCCTTCCTCCGGTTCGTCGGCCTCTGCCTCGGCCAAAATCGGGGACAAGCAGCTGCTAAGAGTGGAAGCAGACGAGGAAGTTCGGGAATGAATGTCTGTCCAGGTATCGTACTCCTCGCCGATCATCCCCACTCCGCCTTTCCCAGCTGGGCTTCCATGCTCCGGAGACCCTTGCATGGCAGGTCCACCTCCTCCATGAACTGGAACCCTGCCCAGACCCAAGGCGCCAGCTCTTTTCCGGCTGATTCGACCTTTTGTTTTCAGGTAGCGGGGGCTATTGTCCGTAGATGCGGCTCGTCTTCTTGGACCTTTCCCCATCTTTCCTCCTTCTGGGTTCAGCATCCACCAAGAGCTCTTCCCCGTGCCTTCGTTTTGGACCCGGATGAAACGACTGTGCAGGGATAAGTTGTGTCGGATGGAGTTCTGTGGTAAAGAGAAAAAGAGGAGAAACAAAAGAATGTTAGCGCCTGAAGGAGCTTTTATAATTAAAATACAAAATATATTAAACAACGGTATAGTGTCAAATAACAGGGGATCTGATATGTTTGATCATGAGAGATATTTCTTTATTTTTGTAGAGTACTAAGATACTGATAAGAACATTGGGAATAAGACAAATAATTACTTTAAATCTGATCTTGTCATTACCTTGACCTGAAATCTAAATTGTTCAAAAGCTTTACTACCTTGATCATACAAATCAAAGCACCACTGCTGATGTCTCCAAGTCAATGTGCCATGCTGCTAACAAGAAAATGTAGGATTGGTTTTCCACAACAAATCAGCCAGTTTGCAAAAGTTAACTGCCAGATTTGAATGTGACAATGTTTTATATCTGAAAAATATCAGATATAGAAAAAATATGCTAAATAATGTCTATATATATACACAGTATGAGCATTCATTTAGCATTTCATTTGCTTTCATATTAATGCTAGAGCCAATGCTAGGTTAGAAGGTAAACATATTCTATAATCATCATTTTTGTAACAGAAGAACAGAAGAACAGAAGCTCAAAAGTGAAAAATAAACGAAAAGAACACCCACATACACAAGAGAATTAAGCTAGGCTTGTGGTAAGCTACAACATAGAATTTTCAGAATAAAAATTCAGTCTAAAATCAAGAATTGCCAATTGAAAGCAGTAGTTATTATAGTTATTATAACAAACTCAATAACAATTTAAAACAAATATTTTCCACTGGAGAAAGTATATGTCACTTTCTTTAAGTTTTGACACAAATCTAAAAGTATTATTTCAGTTTATTCAAATTTAGTAAGATCACGCAAACAAATGCATGTTGTCAGAGCCCAAAACATCTGTTTATGAATAGCTTAAATGGACCATAATAATATTATCTTATATATGTGTCCCCAGATAATAGGTCACATGTACACCTCATATTCAAGCTTATCGGAAGTTTAAAGACGATTTATTCCTAATTGAAAATACAATAAGAAAGATTTCCAATGTTTACAGTGTTCAAGAAGATTATCCAATCAGAGAGCAGAATGAGGCCCTCCTTCGGGTCAGATCTTTTGTATACTGTAGATTTACAAACAAAATTCACATTAAAGAGGACATTTATTTATATGATAGCAGATACAAAAAAAGCATCCATACGTAAAACCCACAGTTTGGACCATTTCTATTCTTTGAAGTCAATTTCAAGCACTGGTTATCATCAGTAACCAGAGCTTGAAATTGTATAGACTTAATTGGACCATTTACGATACATATTACTGTACATGCTGTCCCTTTACACTGGCCTACATTGAAAATTATATTAAGTCGCCATCACTCACAACAAACGTATCTCTGAGATATCAATTTCTCTTCACGTAACGCCATAATCCCTCATGAACATTGCCAAATCCATCTTGCCCTTCAAATGAATAACCCGACAGGCTGGGGCGACCGCTCGTAAGTGGGAATAAAAGACATCCTTTCAAAAAAAAAAAGAAAGAAAAAAATGGCATGAACCGCACTGGCCAAGGAGTAGATACAGGGGCAGGTGGGGCGAAGGAGACAATCGATAGCTCCCCCTGACCAAAACCTCTCCATTCGCACACACACACACACACACTCTGACTCATAATGCCAACCAGCCTCCACATCAAACCATCACCAAGGTTACCGAAATGAATCACGCACTCCGCAACCCAATCACAGACGGCCCGTATCGATCGCAAAGGCCCCTCCAAATATGAGCGATCTTAGCCAGAGACTCAGGGAGAGACAGGGGGGAAAAAAGGAGGGGGAGTATTTTATTTCTTTTTTTTTTGGCGAGAAATTCTGGACTGGCACCAAAAAGGCAGAGAGGAAGTGTATGGGTGGTTAGGCAGAGTCACGCTTATTTAACCTCTTATAAAAGTCTTGGCGTAATGACCTGGCTTCGAGCGGTTTCGCGAAGGTGTCGCCATTGACTGTAAATAGATGGACAATGCTAACCTGCTAGCTCAATGAAGCCCAATAGGGAAGTGCTCATGGACAAAGTCTTTCTCCTACTCTCTCTGTCTCCTCTTCTAGCGCGGTAAGCGTTTGTGTCAGACTCAACATTTTGGGTTTAAACAATACTTGATTTAGCCCTCTATATGATCGCGTTTTTTATATTGTGATATTGTCTTTTTGTAAATCCAGATAAGAGCCATAAAAAGAATCCTCTATTCACGGGGGACACTCCAGCTTGTCTTAACAACCGTCTCAGCTACACTTCTGCTCATCTTACGGCAGACGCCATTGGAACACCTGTCCATATAAGGTAAACACTATGAATGACGTCAGCACTCGGTCAGTCCACTTCTAGATTATATTGATGTCACATGCAAAGTCTTCCAATGTGATTTGAGTAAGTAAGTAAGTAAGTAAGTTTTTATTTATATACCGCCTTTTCACTGCAGATCTGAGTCTCAAAGCGGTTTACAATTGTTAATTTTGGGCATTTGTCTCTCACTCCACACAGAGATGGGAGCGGGGCCAGTACAGGAGGCACATGCCAGAACTATTGGGCATATTTTTAGTGGTAGGGGAAACCGGAGTACCCGGAGGAAACCTACGCAGACACGGGGAGAACATGCAAACTCCACTCAGAAAGGCCCTGGTCCGACCGGGATTCGAACCCAGGACCTTCTTGCTGAGAGGCGAGAGTGCTATTCACTCAGCCACCGTGCCGCCCGGTGAGGTCGGGGATCTGATGATGGATTTAAATGGGAGGGCCAAGGGAAGTCTGTTGTGAACTTTGACCAGTGCACAAAGGCTTATGATGTCTATTCTATTTCTACTACCTGTATGCATGCCTGAATTTGGAACAAAAAGTTTGAATGTCGTCTTGTCTTAAAGGAGAAGCTACTCCTCTGCCTGGAATTATATGCAAAATGAAATAATATGTGTGTCCTCATGAAGAAAGTGATGTGTTTGCCTTTCAGACTACTCATTTTGACTGGTTTCAGAATGCAGATGCTCTCCGAGAATCCAGGGAATACATATGTTAATGTATTAAGCTTTGAACTTGTTAATTTGTGTTTCTTTGTTAATGTTGATCAAGGACAAGAAAAAGAAAAAAGAACGCTGTTTTATTTCCCTCCTTTAATCAGTGGTTCCCAATTGTTTTGTCCCGCGCATACCTGGCACAAGTTGTTAAGGTGAAAAAAAAGGTCCCCGGGGGTCAAATGCATTAGGTCGGTTTTTCAGCTTCTTTGGTCAGTGTGATTTTGAGAAAGATCAGATCATGTTGATGGTGATTTTATGCAGAAATGTGAGAACGCTTCAAATACTTTTTCAGGTCTCAAACAAAGGCTTAGCATATGTCACTTTGCATGTCTATATCATCACGTGAAATAGTGAACTTTTATAGAAAATAGAGAAGGAAAATTTACTTTTGAATAATATTGGGCCTCATTCACGAATAACTTCGTAAGAAACTACTCAACTTTCTTCTCAAGTTGTCCTTAAGTAGATTTCTAAGAAGTCCCCACGTGGGATTCATCAACGCACTCGTAAGGCGCTGAATTGTTCGCAGCTGTTCTCTCAGATTGATGAATCCCATTTCCTCGTAAGTACAGCGCGCGTGCCAGGTGCTTCATTAGCATAGGTACTTAGCATAAGTAACCGCCCACTAATGCCCATATAAGGGACTGCAGGGCCGTGTGCAGACGGCAGAGGAAACAGCAACAGGCCTTTACACGGAGCAAAAGTCACCCTTTTTTCTTCTTTTACCAGACTGAGAATAAAGTTATAAAATGTTGACTTAAAAGTCGAAATATTATGATAATAAAGTCGAACTAGCAAAATTATGAGATTAATCTAAGAATATGATGAGATTAATCTCAAAATGTTATGAGCTTAATTTAAAAATATATTATGTATTATTTTAAAGATGAATCTCAAAATGTTTTGAGATTAATCTCAAAATATTTTGGACCCTGGGAGGAGATCCAGCGCGGACCAGCGCTGAGACCAATGCAGACCCGAGGAGAGACTGGAGTGACCAGCACACAGAAACCAGCGCGGACCTATAGGAGAGACCGCATAGACTGGAGTGACCTGACTGGAGAGACCGGTGCGCAGAGACCAGCGCGGACCGAAGAGAGACCGCATAGACCAGACTTGAGAGACCAGCGCGGATCCGTATGGAGAGACCAGTGCAGACCAGTATAGATCCATGGGAGAGACCAGTGCAGACCAGTATAGATCCATGGGAGAGACCAGTGCAGACCCGTCTAGATCCATGGGAGAGACCAGTGCAGACCCGTCTAGATCCATGGGAGAGACCAGTGCAGACCCGTCTAGATCCATGGGAGAGACCAGTGCAGACCCGTATAGATCCATGGGAGAGACCAGCGCAGAGACTCAGCGCGGACCCAGTAACCTCCTGCAGCAGCAGTATATATGCCGTTGTTCTGTGGCCCGTGGATAAAGAAATGCCCCCTATAAATAGGAAGGGTCACTAATACACGGCAAGATTTCCAATGTATTTGATAAAGCGTTGGCACATTTCATTTCAAAATGAATTAAAAAGTAGGCCAGATCTGCAGTGAAAAAAGCGGTATATAAATAAAGATTACTAATAAAGATTACTACAAATAAATAAATACATACATCGATATGACGGACATATCACTGGAATGTTGTATTTTTATTCAACTTCACCAAAGAGGACAACTCCCGCGTGTGAACATGTCGGCACTGAATGCGTACGAGTGCTCCTGAGGACTCGTAGGATTTGTACTTGCCCAAGAGAAATTCTGGTTACGAGAAATATTCGTGAATGCCACTTTCTTCGTAAAAACCGCGTAAGTAGGATTTACGTACAAATCTGTTCCTAAGAACCGTTCGTGAATGAGGCCCATTGTTTTTTTCGGAGTTCCACCTGTATTTTAACATCACCATAAAAGTTACAAAGTCCTTCTATCAAGATGCGGGGGAGAGAATCACTTATCAAATCTGAAGCAACTATCATTTGCCTGCAATGATACACTTAATTTTAAAACCTCACTTTTTCCTGAACTGTAAATTGCATGCACACATTTATGATTCTCAACCCTCAATTTCTTAAGTGCGGTAAGTGGGAGTGTATAGCGATGCGGAATAAGCCTCTGGAGACCTCCATTTAAGCAGCTGAGTGACGGCTGTATGGCTAATCCAGCAGCAGCAGCGGCAGCAGTAGACGCGATTGAAGCCGGTGCCAACCTGGAGAGAGTTGATGAGATCTAAGCCTGCCTAAGGAAAGAGCTTAGCAGGGATACACATCATCTCAGCTGGCCAAGCGACTTTAAGTACAGCGCGTCCGTCCAAGTCTTTCCGCCTTGTGTCATTATTCACACCGGCTCCTTTTCAGCGCGAGCTTCACACATTTTACCTTTTCACTGCTGTCTATTCAAACTGGAGCTAAATAGTAGCATGGCTCAAAGCTTTATATATTGTGAAAGTTCTGTCAAGGGAGAGGATGGAACATGGGGAAAGAGGGGAAGGTTGTGACAAGTTTTGAAAGAATGTTTGCGGAACTTGATTGTCCTGCAATTGGGGCTTTTTGAGAGTGCACAAAGAGCTACGTTATGGTGCGACCCATGAGGCAAATGTATACACTAATGATGCTAGAGTTAGACTGAAAATACAGGTGAAATTGGGAAAATTAGCATACCAATCAAAAGTTAATTTACCTCTGTAATTAAAGTTGCAATGGCCCTGTTTCCACCATCTCTACTTCCCTCAACTCTTCTCTACTCTACTCTTCTCTACTCTACTCGTCTCTACTCTACATCAATTCGGACTATTTCCACCGGTTATTTTTAATATTTGGTGCTTTATCCTAGCAACCTACCTACAGCAAACCAGTGTCCAGGGAGATTCCTTGGTAACCATGGCTTCCAACAACATTCTTGCCAATCTCTGTCAGTTAGAACACTTAAGTTAGTTAGTTAGTTTAGTCTTTATTTGAAGAGACAGTGTACAAAGCCATTAAGCTCAAAGACAGATATGTTCTGCACCAGATTATAGCTAAACAGCTAGTTTCCATCTGCAGTCCCTAAGTACCACGTGGGCCTGAATATAATCAGGGCCAAGCAGGTACTACTACAGAAGAAAGGAGTAATGGAAACACAACCAGGTCGAGTAGAGCTGAGTAGAGTAGAGCAGGGCCAAGTTGGGCAGGTGGAAACGGGACTAATCTGAATTAAATATTTTACTCATTACACACATTATAAGTGACAGCTGTGTCCCTGTTATTTCATCAGTTTTTGAAGAACTAGTTTAAATATGTTCGGATTTGAATAAATAGTGCAATTTCGGTATTAGGTTTAGGAGAAATAAGTTTATTTAATTATTAACCTTAAAGCCTAACCCTTCTGCTTGGGCACAAATGGCAAATAAACTGGAATTAGGAAACTACTTCCAACTAACATTGTATAGCACTTTGGGTGACCTCTGTCTGTTAATTGCACCACAACAAAAATTATTACATACTTACTTTCTAATTCTCTTCTCGGCATTAATTTCAACGCCTCAATAAGAAATAGTATTACGTTTAGGCCGACTACTTTTTGAGACAGGGCTGTCCGTTCTCCCCTTTACTGTTTGTTATACAGACACCTCATGGCACAAGCCCAGGTGAGCACTATCGGCCACTTTTCTCTTCCTCTCTGGAGATATCTATCTATTTCTGTCTTGTTTATTACCCGCACATAGCTCACAATCTGTGTCTCCCGGTATCTGCGGCCCTTCTCCATCTTCATTCTCTCCCCCGCCTCCCATGCAATATTCCCCCCAGCCCAGCCCCATTCATCTCTCAGTCCTGGCTTCTTGTGATCACGACATTGCTCACTCTCTCCCTCTCACCTCTCTCTCTCTGTCTCACCCCTCTCCATTCCACGTCCATATCACCTCATATAACTTTTGGATCCAATATCAAATCCGGTTGCTTGTGATCAAACAGCACGAGATTGTATGCACGGTTTTTATAGACACGCTTTTCATTTTCAGAGTCAAAGGTGAAGGATGTGGTCGCGTGTTGTGCTGGTCCATATTTTGTTTATGTACCAATTCAACCGGTTTAGGCTGTAATTCTATGGAAAACTGGTGATTTTCAGGCATGTACTGCTGGTGATGTTAATGTAATAAATGACAGAAACCGTATATTGCAAAAACAGAAATCTCAGTTTTGAAAATGTGTCGAAAAGTTGGGATGCTCTAGTTAATAATACTTATAATAATGGTAATAATACATCAATCTGGCATAGCGCTTTTTTGGACACTCAAAGACGCTTCACATGGGAAATAAAATAAAAAATGCGGTTAACAGAGAAGCTTGTTTGAACAGATGGGTTTTGAGTACTGATTTAAAGTTTGGTATTGAGTCAGAGTTTCTAGTGGGCAGTGGGAGTGAGTTCCAGAGGGTTGGGGCGGCAAAGGCAAAGGCTATGTCCCCCAAGGTCCGGCGGTTAGTGTGGGTGATGGCTGAGCGAAGGCGGGGCCAGGTTATGGAAGGACTTGTAGGTGAGGAGAAGGAACTTGTATAATCTTTGAAATGTTTTGAACCAATTTGCTCAAGAAAGATGTGAAACTTTATTTGTATGGCACTAAAACATATCTTGCTTTTGAAAAACGGCTTGGTAAAGAGTGAATAGTAATATCACTCTTTCCAGCATTTTTCTAATTCTGTTTTGGCAAATTAACTATTCATACCTTCTATGATAAATAATTGAATTACATCCCTTATACAGCCTACGCAGCTAAAGGAGAATAATAATTAGAGAAAGTTCTTAAGAGTTGCATTTACTTTTCAATTGGTTGTTTGAAAAGAAATGATTTAACTGTGAAAGGTTGATGTCAAAGATGTTGTTGTAAAGGAATTATAACATTGTTTCTTCATTATGGAAGAAAAAATAAAGGAATTTAAATGATGAGCTGGAGAAGTATGTGGAGGAGTGAGGACTTAAGCACAGTGCAAACAATGGGAGAGAGGTGTAGGGTCAGAGAGTGTTGGGGCCAGTGTGTGTGTGAGTGTGTGTGTGTGTGTGTGTTTGCTTCGTCCAACCACAGTGTCGGAAAACCTGTTCACTTTTACAAACTAGTAAGAACAAGCCTTGTGAGTCACTATTTGACACGTTGGCCTGAGTGGATTGTCTGAGTGAGAAGCATTTCATGTCATTGTGGTTTGAAAGTTAGGTACCCCAGCTTTAAGCAGGGATCCCTCTCATGATGGTGTGATGGGGATTATGACACCTGCTCTTAAATATAAAACAAATAATAGTGTTGAATAGAGAATCATGTTTTATTCCCTTTACCACATCCATTTGATAAGAATAATCTCTCGTACTCCAATTGTTGCTTCTCAAAACAACCAATTATTAGTAGATTGTTTTTAATATTTATCTATTTGTTTATCTATTTATTTCTTTTGAGATTTCCTTGCAGACGCAGAAGGGTCAAAAGACAGTTTTGATCGAGAAAACGCAAGGAAATTTATGGACAATGGTCATTCCAATCCCTATGGCTCCCATGTGTTCGGTTATTGGTTACTCAAGTTTGTAAAGTTCTCCGAGATGACTGCTGTAGTGATTTAGTGCCATATAAAAATACATAGAATTGAAATGAAATTGAATAGTATGTCCAAGGTGCACGGCCAAATCTATGCACCTGAACAAGACAAAAAACACAGACCTCTCCCCAATATGAAATCTCCACATGTTTATGTTGTGCTTCCTCTCTTCCTCCTATACGAGCCACACACACGGTCACGTCCCGACCGCCAGACCGCCCGACCGACCGCGGAGAAACCCATTGTTCTAAACGCGCACCATGAAAAGCACAGCATCTCCAAACAGCAGGTAATAGATTTTCTCGCAAAATGTTTACCGCGGAATCTGTAGCTTTTAAGTGGCCCTCCAGCGAGCCTTGGCGTCCCCCCCCCCCCCTGCTTCCAGTCCCCATTCAGCAGCAAAAGTGGCGCACACCTTGCAACCCCAGCGTGGAATCGGGGACTGGTAATTTGGACCAATCTGCCACTCAAAACCACGTGTGTGCCCCCAAAAGATGATTATGAACGCGTTTATGTGGTTTGAAAACATCGGGTTAGCAGACATTTGCAACATTACGTAGCTATGGGTGCACTTGAGATCAGGTAGATGGAATTATGCCGTGTGTATTTACATGCGGGTTCCAAATTGCTCAGCTCGGTTCGATGTACTAAAATGACTGCTTATTACGGTTGGAGTGGTTGGAGATTTGCCCAGTGGATGTATTCAATGTATAGTTGAATTTTTGTTGTGGAATACAATGGGGGAAAAAAAAACATGATTGAATGAGATGACTATTCAGGGTTTTCGGTTTGCCGTTTCATGCAATATTTGAAGGACCTATTTTTCTCCATTCAAAAGATATATATATATATATTTTATAAATTGCTTATCACTATGACAACATTGGTAATTCATTATTTGTTCTTGTATTATTATTGAAAGACATACTGTAGATTGATAAACTTCAGTCTGCAAATCAAATCCACCCATTGTCTATGAAAAAATATATTTAGATATCTTGGTTATGTAAATTTGAGGATTATTTCAATGCTGGTTTGCAACTAAAAGGTCTTCATATTAGTACTGATAGATTCTGGTGTCATTGTTTTCCAATTTAGATCAACAAAAGAATTGCATGTATTTCTTAACATGGCCACACACACAAAAACTGGTCCTTACGAAAATGTAATTGCCCTGGTTTATGCATTTAAAACACAAGAATGATTTTAAGCTACCAAACCAAATGACCAAAAGTTTTCACTTTTTGTGAATAGCAAAAATTCCAAAAAAAAGTATGGTGGATAAATATATATAAAAGTACACATATGTACACTTTTATACTATTTTCTAACCCCCGTCCTAGTGTCACATTCATTATTTGAAAGACCTCAGTAGATTTCATGCTTTCTATATACATATGCTTCACAAATACAGCCATAATTTATAGTTATATAGTTTATTATAAATATATAATGTTCTATTCTTACCAACACAATCAAGGCAAATTGACGGCGGCCACTATTGGACGTAGGCGACTACACACTACATCGTCAGGTGATACAACACGACGGCTCCGACTGGGCGTAACCATGGCAACAGGGTAAACCAACAAAAAAAAAAGGAAAACATTAACGAAAGAAATCAAAAAAAGAAAGTGGGGGAGAATTGAAGAGTGGGGAGATATATAGGGAGGGGGGAGGGCAGGCGGGGGGTAGGTAGCTTGTTGCTATTTGATGCTGCAGGCAACTCCAAACAGCCTTTTATCTGCGCCTGTCAGAATCCTGCCTCCAACCCACCAGGGAGGCTCAATCAGCAGCAGTCCCAGCCCGCGCTCTACCTGCACCGCGCCGTGATTAGCCGCACAGAGCCGCAAGGAGAGGAGGAGGCAGCTTCCATGCAACAATTACTGCACCCAAACCCACTGGAGCAGAGCCTGTACTGACGCCCAGGACGCAGAGGGGAAGGTCTGCAACTTTCACCATAGGGCGGGACTTAGCCATCGACAAGTTGCGTTTACGTTTGTGCAGATTGTGACAAGAGACCTAAAGTGTGCGTGTGAATGTGTGCATCATGTGCGTATGTGAACATGTATGTTTTGCAGATGGTGATAATAGAACAAAAGTGTGCATGTGCTTATATGTGTTTGTGAACATGTATGTAATGCAGGCACCGATTTCATTTTTGTCTCTTTTGTCTTTTTGTGTTATTGTGTTTTATTGTTTTATTGTTTGTTATTGTCTTTTTTGTTTTTTCTCTTTTCTTTCATGTCCTTGTCTTGAGCAAGTTTTCTTCTATTTTCTCTCTTAAATAATAAATATATTAATTGTATATATTGGTTTCTACTTTTGACCTGCGGCAATCTGTCACCAGGTCCTTTCGAGTGAACACACTGCAGGCCAACTTGAGGAACAGTTCGATATCTCAGAGTTTCCCAGGTCCAATGAAAACGGAACAAGACAGGAGCTTTTACACAGAAGGGACAGAGATATATATCTGTGCTAGAAGTTGGCATGGATGGATCTAAAAACAACTTCAGTTCTGTTTCCATCCGTAGAATGGATAAAACTGGAGAAAAGCAACAACAAAAAAAGCATATTTTTGCATGATATTTTGCATCGTCCATTCAACACATGAGCTTCTCTAATAATGTCCATAATGAGGTTTTCACTTCCCTGCGTGGCCTTTGCTTCACCACTGCACAAAGACAGCGCACACGTAAAGGTCAATATGTTACTGGTAATTTCTGAAGCTCTAAAGATAGCTTTTTACCCTTATAATATTGAATTACGGATGACGAAAGGTTGGCTTTTCAAACTGCTCAAAGTTTACAGCACTTTGTATAGATTCAAATAGATAGGTCTCGAAATGTATCTTGTTGCCCCCTAGTGGACATCCAAGTTTAATGTCAGTGCGGCCCCCATTGAGAGTCTGGGCTAATATGGCATGTTAAAGATCATTTTTAAGCTATTTTTATCCGTATGTTATGTTCACTTTTTGATCAAACGCAAAAAGTAATAATTAAAAAGTACACAATATTAAACCCAGCAGTCTACAATACTCCATTGCCTTTGGTCCAGTTGTATTTCCAGCAGCTGTATCTTCTTTATTCATAGTAATATAGATTAAATTATATCTCAACTCATTCAATGAAAAAAAAGAAAAAAAATGGTCAAAATACTTTCTCGATTGTAAAAATATTACAAATACAAATGGTGAGCTATAGACAAACTTTCCACAAACTCTTGGATCTTTGTTTTCCAGTTTTTGTCTCTTTTGGTGGGACCATTTGAGAAGCAGGGGTATACTGTATGTATCACTCCAGGAGCTAATCTGCTGGATGTGCGGAAAGTGAAATAGATTGTGCAGTATTTATGGTCAAATTCTAGTCCTGCAAGTTTATGAACATTGGACATCCACTCCTTATGGACACGTGATTAATACACCCCTGAATGCCACTTAGCTTTACCCAGACTCGACCTCGTGTTTGAGACCCCTGATGTAGGTGATGAAAAATTAAATAATTAGATGAAAGAACCACATTATACCTAAAATAACTTTGAGTGATGTTTTCAATCCTTACATGACCACAAACTGTCATTTTCTCCGTCTGTCTATTTTTATCATAATCCACAAGACACAAAACCAAATAACAGTGATTTGAAGGCTGCAAGGCATTCACAAGCCTCAGCAAACTAAGCATCAGCTGTATAACTTTGGAGAAATGACAGCTATACTATAAAATGATCAATGTATCTACACTTTGGATAAATTTACCCAGATTCAGAGATCTGCATTCCCCTTCGATTCCTCGTTCTACAGCCTGAGTCCTGGAGCTACAGTCTGCCCATGTGTGGGAGCGGATCCCTGGGCCTCCCTGAAGTTTCCCACTGTTTTTATTTTCCTTGCAGATCCAGGAGGTGCTAAGGACAGTGATGATACGGCACACTGATGCTTGTTTAGTAACGTTTATGGACATTGGTCATCCCCCTCACTATGGATCAATGGCTCCTATATGTTTTTATTACTGTATTTCCTGAGTTCAACTGTTGGATTCTCTGATCTAGTCACGCGGGACAACTGCTGCTGTGATTTAAAACTATACAACAATAAAACAAATTAAGTTGAATGGAATAAGATCAGCGAGAAGTCGTCCACCCCTGATTTCTGCACCCACATAGACTAGCATGCATTGTGGCAAGATCAATTGTTTTTTAAGCTTTATTTTTACACAGCAGATGTGTGTTTCCACAAGAAAGACATCTTATGCTTTAGAAAACCCTTCTAATCCTGATTTAATAAAAAGCAGGATGAACAAAATTAAAGATTTGCAAACTTACGCAAGACAGTCACAGAATTCTTAAATTACGACATGGTGTTGGATTGCCATCAGATGATTACCATTTGAGCCTTGAGCCCCTTATGTCAAGTTCAACAACTCACTGTGCCTTGGAGTACGTATTTACTTGTCAGAATAATGCATTTGAAAGCTGAGTTGCCATTCCCCTGCTGCTAAATCCCCTATGCCTGCGTACCTTTGGGCCAGTGCATCCAGCAGGAGAGGTGGGGGTGTAGAGGAGAGGAGAGGAAGGACACCCCTGCCTCGGTCTTTGCTTGTACGGGTAATACTTGGCTATTTCCGCGGCTCTCTCCACAGTATATCATACATAAACAGTGACTGAGTTGACCCTGGCAAATGCCTCGGCAGCTGAGTTGGGGGAGAGCCAGTCCAGCAGCCAGCTAATGGTCCATGGACGCGCACATCGGTCTAGCCGCAATGCATGCTTCTCACCGGAGACTTTTTGCAGTAACTTAAGGGTATTGTTGGTTGGTATTGACTGAGTGCATGTTGGAGTGGAAAAAGTACACAAAGCTTTCGCTAGCAGGCAAACTATGCATTTTTGTGTATTTTTAGAGCCACCTAATTATGGTAGGTACTGTATATTCCAACTGAATCCATTTCTTCAACACATTATGCATGTTGTGTTAACAGTATATTTAAAGCTGACAACTCCTAATTCAAATGTACACAAACATAATTATGCCAAAATCATTAAAAAAAACATTTTGCTGTCTGTTCAAAGGCGCAGTATTTCTGAGAATATAGACACACATTGATCCTTGTTGCTTCAACAACAATAAACTCGAACTGAATACATTTTAGTGATTTGTTTGGAAGTACAGTACTTCCAAGTACAGTATTATAAGCCCTGATTATTATTATTAATTGTTATTTGTACTCGAAATTTACAACAATGCGGTCAATGTATGTACAGTATTAATGTTAGAGCTCCCCCTGTGGTGCAGGAAGCGATTTGGACACAGCTCTATCAGCCGTTGATCTCTAGACTTGATGACGAAGCACACATTCCTGCTTCCCGGTGTGTTTATGTGAATAGCAGAAAGAGCAAATAC